TACCTTCTTTGTTGATTTATTATAAAATATTTTCATATTTTTTCAATAAAATTTGTGGGCACTTGAGAAAAGAAAACGATAATAAAAGGAAGGGAGTTTTTTGTTTTTTTTTTGCATAGCATTTTGTCTGATGGGTTGGTATTTTCTGTGACCCACCCTCAAGCTCCCCTAGGCCCCTATCCCGTATACATGGACACACCCAGCACATACACTTAGGCACACGTATTCATAACACATTACTCTGCTTTTTAAAAATCCAGATACTCCTAGGGAAAAATACTACATTAAACCGAATCACACAGATCTATCAACAAGTAACTGGTAAGGGATTTTTTTGAATGGATGGAATGTTTTCCCCTGATATTCCAGAAGTTGCATGGCTGTATGAGAGAAAAAACAAGTAATTAGTTAGATGTGATAAATGACCAAAGTGTTGAAACATGAACAGGTACTAAAGACAAACACTACTGCCTCTGTGTTTTTTTCCTGGATTTTGCGTTAGCTATGAGACAGAAATAATGTCATCAAGGAAATTGTGTAGAGGTAATGCAGTGATTCTGCTGAGAAAAGACAAGTGCCTGGCAGAGAGAAATGTCTAGGTGGATGAGGATCAAGTCATGGAGCTGAGATTGGGCCATATGATTTACGACATATTGGGGTAAAAGATAATTAGAACAGTATTGCCTCCTTAAGTCAGAAATAGATAAGCAGAAAGACATCACAGGGGGCTGAGATTCTGCTGGGTTTCATTTCTTCCCTGACAGGCACAGGAGGATACATGTTCAACTTTTTGCATTTCTGGAATTACATATTTTACTATTAATACTATTAATGACATAAGGGGATGTTCTAGATATGCCAGAACAATGCATGCAGCCAAATAAAAAGAGAAAATAGTTTCTATGAATTCAATTCAATAACTTTATTTACATCTTAATTTGTGTCAAGTTAAGCATTAGCCAAAAGAGTGAGACAAAGAAAAATAAAGATATGTCACATAATATTCTGGCTCAGTCCAATTGGAAAAACACAGTTCATAAGAAGAAACACTAACATAGGACATAGGATTATTTGAAGAAGTCTAATGTACAGATGAAGGCCAATGTAAGAACACGGAAGGAATGGGAAATACATCTGATTTGTTCGTGGGTTGACAAACTTATCCTGAATGAGACAACATCAGCAGTGTGAATTACGTGTAAGACAAGGACCTTCACGCCTATAATAAAGGGCATCCTAAGCTGAGGAGAGAGCCTAACTACAGCCCTACAGGTGGAAGATTGTGGAGTACGTGTGGAGAATGCAGAGGGTCCAGTGTGGCCAAATGAAAGCATACAAGCAAAGGGAGACACAGGAAGAAAAGTAAAGAGGGAAAATACCTAACGTGAATTTCTGTTATGTCATATGCTCTGTTAAACTTCACGTGCTAGCCAACGTAATCTTACATCTTTATGAAGGATAACATTAACCAATTTAACAGAGATTTTAAATGAAGTCTAATTAAAGAAAACTACCAAAACACAGAGAATAAACTAGCAGTCAGCATGTCACCCAGGTCTGCCTGTTCCCAAAGCCTATTACTGTAACACCCTAATTGCTCCCCGTGTCCTGAGTTCTGAGATTAGCAAGTTAAACATGGACCAATGTTGGAAGATTTCTGATTAACAAATTTTGGGTTTTATTCCAAGGAAAATAGGGTTTCATATAATTTTGGGGGAGAGTATTGATACATTTTTAGCATTCTTCAAATCCAAGTAGTCACACCTGGAACTAGTTGAGCCATTTAAAATGTATATTTCAATCTGAATAACAGTAATATTTTGGGGCTCATATATCATGAGAAGTCATTTAGTGTAACTCCCCAAAGGAAGCTTATATTGTTCCTGTAACCTCTCAAATGATAACTGACTTGAGGATATATAATTGAAAGCCCAATGAATATCCCCCAATTTATTTTAACACTGAATGTGACATTAGAGACCACACCTTTCGCATGGCAACTTTGATCTCCACATTTCTCAAGGTATAGATGAGAGGATTCAACATGGGGGCAATCACAGTGTAAAACACAGAGATTTCCTTATCCTTGTTCTCACTACCTGCAGGCAGTACATAGGTGTAGATACAGGGCACAAAAAACAAAACTACAACCATGACATGAGAGCTACAGGTTGAAAGAGCTTTACGTCTCCCTGCAGAGGACCTTGTCCTAAGATGATACAAAATGAGAATGTAGGAAGCTACTAGGACAAGAAAAATTACAACTACCACCATCCCTGAGTTAGCAATCACTAAGATACTAACAACGTGGATATCTTTGCAGACCAGTTTCAAAAGAGGCTTCACATCACATATGTAGTGATTTATCTGATTAGGACCACAGAAGGGCAAATTGAGTACCATGATTAGTAGAGCCACAGAATGCCAAAAACCCACGCCCCAGGCCACAACAATCAACATGTTGCATCTCTTCCGGTTCATGATGACCATGTAATGCAGGGGCTTGACAATGGCAACGTAGCGGTCAAAAGCCATGGACACCAAGATGAATATTTCCACACCTGCCAGCAAGTGGGCAGTGAAGAGCTGGGTCATACAGTTGTTATAGGAAATGTGTTTTTTTGCTGTAGCTAAGTCCCTGATTAGGCGGGGAACCACGGTGGAGGTATAGCAGAGGTCCATGAAGGAAAGGTGACAGAGAAAGTAGTACATGGGTTGTTCGATTAGATGGCTGCGGGTGATCGTGAGTAAAATGATGAAGTTCCCCATTAAGACAGCCAGGTAACTAAGCAGGAACAAGAAAAAGAACAGTAGCTCTATTTGCTTATTTCCCCATAGACCCTTGAAAACAAACTCCGTGACATTGTTCTGATTTTCCATGAAGTTGAATTGAGTCCAGAATACACAATAGAAACTTAATTCATCTGAAATGATACAGAAGATAAAACATCTTTAATAGCACTTTTTAAGTTTGGGAGAGATTGATAAATTGGAAAAAAGTGTAGATCATAGCACATCTGTTACAGGCTTAATCTTTTAAACCCTTTTTAGATTAAGGGTATCATTATATTTCTAATGATACTTAATGAATGCACATGTTATGTCTTGGACTTCTATAGATATTTTTGTGCATTAACTTTCACAAAAACACAGTAGGTATTGGTCTGATGGTCATTTTACATATGAAGAAATAGAGAAATAGGAAGATTAAGCTAATTACAAGTCATCGAAATACTAAGTTGCACAACTAAGATGTGAACCCATATCTGATGTCAGATTCCTAACAGCTGTGCCATGGTGTCCACAAACCAAATGGAAGTCCAGCAAAGAAATGGCATCTTTCTTCATATCTTTCATTTACTAACTCGGTAACTTTAAGGAAGATCCTCCCCTTATCTATGCTACATATAATTTATCTATAAAGTCCCAATCTGACAACTAACATTTCATACATACAATAAAATTAGTATTTATTATTGAAGTTAAAAAATTTCAAGGTTCATAATCATAGCAGAAAAATGGCCTGAATTAGTTGATAACAGTTTCAACGACTCTCCATGGCAGGTTCAGCCACAGTTCAGGACATGGAGAGGCTGGAAATAAGGAATTGGAGGCAGCAATTGTTGGCCATCTCAATACATGGACACAGTTTATTCTTACATTATAGCTTCACCATTTTCCTAATTATTCTAAAGGTGCATCTTAGAGGTTGCTGTTGGCATGTTTGAAACACTTTGGAGAGCTAATTGTTTTCTATTGACATGTTGAAGGACTTAATGTGATTAAGCAATGATCTGCTTATGTAATCACACATTCAAAACAGTGCAGCCATTCTGATGCAAGGTATCTGGAAGCAATATGTTGAGAGCAAATATGTTGAAACCATCATCTTTTACCCATATCCAAATGTCCTTCTCAGTAAAATCATGGTTTGCCTAAAAGACCATTAATTTCAATGTTATTTTTGTTTTTTTAATTTTATTTTTTTACTTGACGATGAATAATTGTATATATTCATGGGATATATAGAGATATTTTGATACATATGATGTATAGTGATCAGATCAGGGTAATTCACATTGTTATAGATGGGGGTCTCACTGTGTTGTCCAGGCCGGACTCACAGAACTCCGGGGCTCAAGCACTCCTCACACCTCAAC